AAAAGGTATTTAAAATTTATTGGTAAATTACCAACATAAATTTTCTGTTAAAAAATATCCAACCAATTACCAATGTATCTGGAAAAGTTTACTATCAGACATTTGTTACTATAATTACCAATGGAATCGAATAATGAAGAAAAAAATTTAACTAACTCCTTTTCAATTCGTTAGTAAAGGTACTAACGATATACTAACCAAAAATTAGTTGGTGAATTTACCAACTGAAATTTCAGGGCCATGTTTCAAAATTTTGTAGCAACATCTTTGGGTGTTTACCAACTGATTTTTGGTTGGTAAGTTTACCAACAAATTAAAATCGGTTGGTAATATTTACCGACGAGCCTTTTAGCAACGGATTAATATAAGTTGGCATTTGGTTGGTAACTCAATTTACCAACCAATTTGATCAATTTACCAACAAATTTTTTTGTTGGTAATTGGGGTTCCTTTTGTAGTGTGAGGTGTCGACTTGTTCATATTGAACGATCCTAATGAGGAAAAGGGGGTAGTAAAAGGCAACTTGATTGTATATTGATTTTTGATGTGTTAGGAATGATATGAAAGGTTTGTTGATTCATTGTTGATGTTGTATCACGATTGTGTTGTTGTGAATTATGCATTGATATGAAAATGGTCATCCCCTCATTGTTTGTGAACATGTCATTTGCATTGGTTCTGAAACATGGTTGTGACAAGTGTTATATGAATTGAGGAAGGATAAGAAGTTAAAGAGGAAGTACCATTTTGAGGGACGTGTCGCGCGCCGCGACAAATATTATATTTGGATGGACGTATCATGTGTCGCACACCAAGATGGATTCTATTATTGAGGACGTCTGGCACGCCATTGACAAATTCTATTATTGAGGGACGTGTCACACACCGCGACAAATGCATGAACATATATGTCCCCCATGGATCCCGGACTGAGAGACAGCGGGTGTGTACCGTTAGGACAGACATGCATCACTACACGTGACATTGCATTTCATTACATTGCACATCTTTATTATTTGTGAACTTACAAATACTTTTCTCTGGAACTTGTGATTAGTGAACTTGATCTTGTGTGTTGCTAATGTGTTTAGAAGTTTGCTTCCTGAGTATCGTGTGGTTTGGTACTGACCCCTTGTTTCTACATTTGTGTATGTTACGAGCTCGAATCTTCGTGATACTCTTTCTTCTATTCTTGTCTAAGGCTTCCAGTGGAGAGTTGTGAGGTATCTGTTTGTCATCATAGCAGACCTTCTTACTCCTATTTATGATTTTGTTATGCTATAGAGACAATATCATTTGATACTTGTGTTTTCCTTTCAAATCTCTCGTAATACATTAGAGGCTTTTTGGATCAACTTTTGGGGATTTAGTTAAGTTGACTTGTTATCCGCATTAGTATTAACTATTAAACTTCTAATTTTATTTTATTTCTGCATTTTATCGTAATGGTTGAGTTTGAGGCTGACTTGTCTTGGTGGGATAAGATGAGTGCAATCACATCCATTGTTGGGTCGTGACATATCCTGGAGGGTAGAAGTCAAGAGTTATACTGTTGGATTGGTGTAGATTATACGACAACGAGCTTGAATCTCCTTAAAGAGAGTAAGATATCATCTCCTCGTCCTGAATGATGATTTATACATTTTTTATTCATTTTATTTTCAACTGAAATTTATTGAATTTGTGGTATATACACCAATACAATATTTTTTTAGGAAACAACAAACAATTTTCTACCATCCACAAACCTCACGTTGGGATTACATTTTTAGCAGGTCGGTTCATTAAATGGTTTAAATGATTGTTTTTAAAATATTGATTTAAAAAATAAAATAAAATTATAACAACAAGTTTAAATTAAAAATTAATTAAATAGCTTAAATGACTTTGTAAGTAAAATATGCATAGTTGAGTGACTTTATAAGTAAAGCACTCATAATTGAGTGACTTTTGAGTTATAATTCAAAGTTGAGTGACTTTCTGAGAAAATAAGTCATAGTTGAGTAACTTTCTGAGAAAAGAATTCATAATTGAGTGACTTTTGAGTTAAAATTCAAAGTTGAGTTACTTTCTGAGAGAATAGTGCATAGTTGAGTGACCATCTGAGATATTAACTCTAAAAAACGTACATAATGTAAATATACCAGCACAATATATTGTGTTATATTATACAACAAAATATTACATGATCAACCATACATATGAAACTCAATGCCGTTTTATTCATACGATATTTTTTAGCAAGGTTTAGAGTAGCAAGACTATTACTATTATAGATCTTGCCACTACGTACAACGGTTTTATAATATTACATGATGATTTGTTGTGAGGCAATCGGCTAATCGATCACTTATTCATGGCCTTCACCAGAGTTGTATCAATCACTAGGGGGTTTATAATTGTAATGTGGAGGGTTATATTTGTCACCTGGAGGTTTGTATTCGTCACTAGGAGGTTTATATTTGTCATCTGGGGGGCTACATTTGTCACCTGGAGGTTTGTATTCATCACTAGGGGGTTTATATTTGTCATATGGGGGGTTATGTTTGTCACCTGGAGATTTGTATTCGTTAGTAGGGAGTTTATATTTGTCATGTGGAGGGTTATATTTGTCACCTGGAGGTTTGTATTCATCACTAGGGGGTTTATATTTGTCATGTGCACCTGGAGGTTTGTATTCATCACTAGGGGGTGGGGGGCTACATTTGTCACCTGGAGGTTTGTATTCATCACTAGGGGGTTTATATTTGTCATGTGCACCTGGAGGTTTGTATTCATCACTAGGGGGTTTATAACATAGAGGTTTATACTCATCACTAGGGGATTTATATTTGCCATGTGGGGGGTTATATTCGCCACACCGAGGTTTATATTCGTCATATGGGTGGTTGTATTCGCCACTTGGAGGGTTGTATTCACTATGTGGGGGTTTATTTCCACCACTTGGAGGCTTATATCCATTGTTATATTCACCACCAAGAGATTTATATCTATTGTTATAATCGTCATGTGAGGGTTTATATCCACTACCTGGGGAATTATATCCACCACGTGAAGGATAACATTCGCCACCAGAAAATTTATATCCATTATTATATTCATCATATTTATCTCCGGAATATCCGTCAATGTCATTATATCCATCATCGTGTACATCATCCGATTTCATTGCTACAAATATTAAATGTGAAATTTAAAAACTAGCATAACATTGAATAAATGTCAAATAATTAGATAAGAAATCCAATATTTCAAATAGATAATTAATAAAAGGAAAAAAGAAAAACAATAAACTTACAGGTCTCAGCCAACTCCCTAGCTACAACCTCATAGCTTATTATTGCAAAAGTAACCAAAAAAATGCCAAGAAACAAAAATGCCTTGGAACCCATCATTTTTTTTTTCTTTTTCAAAACTTAGTTATTTTATTTAAAGGATGAAGAAATTGATACAACATTGGGTTATATTTATACTAAAAGAATTCAATGTATTAGAAATTGATAAACGGTCACTTATCACTTATCTTGCCCAACCACTACACATCGATTATATTTCCACTATTTCAATTTATTTGTATTATATTTTCAATTTGTTTTAAAAAAGAAGATAGTATAGGACCACAATATTTATCTGTATTTTGTGATATACACTAAATAAAATAGTTGTTTATAGTTAAAAAATAAAATAAGCATATATTATCAAAATATCTTCTTATGATGGGAGAGTGAATCTCATAGAAAAGATGAATTATGTTTAAAAAATATATAATTTCAGTACTTTATTAAAATCTCTAAGAGTAATAAATAACTAAAAGTTATTATTATATTTATCATAATGTAATTTTTGTACATATTTTTTTTACACTTAATTTGCTTTTCTTAAACTTTTTTTTTTTTTGGGTGGAAATTTGAATAAACACAAACTACTGCTCTAATACTAATAAAAGAGCTTCTTAAATCTTACTTAAACATAAACTGCTATAAGCCTATAGCTATACAAAGAAATTTTTTAAAACACGTTTTGAAATACGTAAATTTTAAAAGTTTTCCCAATTAGGTTCTAATTGCTCAAACAATTTTATTGCGTTAGTTTTCTACTTCATATATTTGAAGTATATATTGCTATCATTTTTGGTGGTAGGTGATCGATAAGTATCGTCTATTTTTAATTCATAGGTTTCAAATTTGAAATATTTGAGAAAAAAATTACTTTTGATAGAGAACACTATAATCCTAAAGTAGACCATTCCTGTTAGAGTGGCTAAAGTAGAATTGAGACGTCGGATTTATCTTGAATCTAATACTTTTGATGTGAAGCATAAATTTTATAAATTTTTTTTTATAAAAATTGCAATAAATGATATATATATATATAAAAATGAGAGTGTCGAACTAATATGGGTAATAATAAAAGCCATAACCATTCCTCTTATAATATATTTTTTTTTTTTGGAAAAGGGTCTGATATACATCTCAATTCTATCATTTAGAGTTGATATATCACTCGTTATGAAAGTGACTCACATATACCCCCAATGTTATACAAATGACTCACATATACTCTTTTCCTCTAACGAAAGAGAAAAAATAATAATTTAATTTTTTTAATTATTTTTTTGAAAAAAATATCATCCATATGGGGTATATTAGATCCTCCTAGCTCACACGTATTTTTGTTTTTTTGACTTTTATGTTTCAACGACTAATTTAAATTTATTATTTTGATGGTCAAATTTATACACCCAACTTGTTTACCACCTTATCAGGTCATCAAAGTATTCATTTTTCTTTTTTCCAGAGTAGATTGGACATCCACAATAAGTGAATGGAAATTCCTTGTCCATAAATCCAGTACTATTTTTCATTCTGTTTATTCTGCTAGCTGATGCCTTAGGAGCTGTCAAGAACTTTAATCTTTGTTCACCAGTTGTCTTGAGCTTTTCTCATAATTTCTAATTTGCTTCATCACCATCTTGATAGTTTTGGTCTTTCCACTACAAAAGATCACTTTTCATAAGAAATACTCCATCTGTTTCAAAAAGAATGACCTAGTTTTCTTTATAGTCTGTTTCAAAAAGAATGACCCCTTTCTTTTTTTGACAACACTTTAACTTTAACATTCCACGTAACATGTTTGAAGCCACAACATTAAAGGGCATTTTGATACATTTGACAGAACTTTATTTTAGAACCACAAGATTAAAAAGTCCTCTCTTATCTTACATTTCGTTCCAAGTCAAACTAGGTCTTTTTTTTTTTAAAACGGAGGGAGTAAGTTGTTTAGACATTTAGTTAAAACTTCCGCAACCAATAAAAATAGAGATGGTGATATATAAAGGATCTCCTTGTTTCGGTCCTTGTGAAGATGTAAAGAATATCCCATCCTAGATCCATTGATAATGACTGAATACCAAACACCTAATACTCACTCTGTCCCAATTTATGTGACTTACTTTCCTTTTTAGTCAGTCTAACAAAAAATGACACAATTCTATATTAAGTAACAATTTAACTATAAAATGTATATTTTACCCTTAATGAAATGATTTACATCCACACTATTAAGTGGAAATAAGTTAAGTATTTTGAAGAATGACAAAGTTGCATAGAACAGGTTGTGTTTACATGTTTCAAGTTCATCTAATCAGACTGGGAGAAGGATTTGGAAATCGAGTAGGTTTGCGTTGTAACATCGTGTAAGTTGAAATAACTATGAAGAAGCTGGAAATTTGAAATAGTCATTTTTGGAAAGAATTCAAAATCTGGAAATTTAGTTAAGTATGAAAAAAGTGAGTTTTTGGTCAACTTTGAGCAGTCATAACTCCTAGCTCAGGATGAGTTAGGTGTATTTACAGTTATGTTTGGAAAGCCCTTGGAATGATCTTTCCAACGCCGCCGAGTTTACTTGATTCCGAGTTCGTATGAGTGAGTTATTCCCTTTCGAAGTTGGGCTGTTGGTAAGGGAAGTTCATCCGAAATTTTTAAGGGTAGTTTGGGTCTTTTTCCCTCACCTTTTCTTTTGGTTGTATATCAAGGGTCTAAGCTGATTTTACATCAGTTTTCCCCTTTTAAAAGTTAGAGTTAGGGCTTTTGAGAGAAGAGAGAAAGAAGAGGAGAAAGGGAAGAAGAAGCAAGGATTCGTCAAGATTGTCGTGGATTTCGTCGGGGGTGATCCCTATTAAGGTATGTGAGATCATAGTGTTGGGTTGGTTCAATCCCCCACACGCCAAACTCGTTTTAATTTCGAGAAAAGGTTGAAGTTGTGGTTTTGTTGTTGAAGTTTCTTGTTGGTTGGGTGCATGTTTCCGGTTGTGATTTCGAGTTGAATCTATTGTATATTAAGGGGTTTTATGATTCTAAGTGTTTGGGGCTGGAACCTTTGAAGTTAAGAAGGTTTAGAGTTGGAAAAACAAGGAGAAAAGTTGGGTTTTCGGGGAAAAGGGGCTGGGGCGTCGCGCCAGCCAGTGCGCCCCAAAAGGGGCTCTGAGGCCCCCTCCTTGGGGCGGCGTGCCATGCAGGGCGCCCAGCAGGCCCCTCTGAAATTTGAGGGCTGGCACCCGTGCCTCTTAGAGTGCCAGGGACGCCAGTCTTCCCCATTCCTTCCCCACTCTTTCATACATGTTCCTTGGTAATGTACCTATGTTTTATAGTTGTTTTCAACACTCTAAGGTATATCTAAATATCACGAACTCATCCATAAACATGAGATCATTACCTTCAAATCCGTACTCCAATTCGAGGAGAGTTAGGATCAAAGTCAAGTGAAGTTAGAAGTCAAGTTTAGAAGTTAAGAAGAAAGTCAAAGCAAGTCTTAAAGTTTTTCAAGAGTCTTCATTGAACGTTTTAACTTCATTTTTAAGGCTCAAGTTTCAAGTTAAGCCAAGAGTATAGAGTTGAGTTCATTTCTCAAAAGTTATTAGGGAACTATGTATTCCCAAAGAAGTTTATAAATGTTTCCACATTTGAGCAAAGAAAAGGGAACATTTATTCCAAAAGATCCTTTGGGCTAAGCTTTGAGCAATTATCTCAAACTAAAGAAAGATGTGTTTAAAACACTTATGAGCTAAAGTATATTTTTTTTGGGGAGTAGTCTTGAGCGCCGAATTGGGGACACGAGTTCATATTAACTCAACTCTCCATAAGAACCATGTAGCCAAACATGGGATTTAACGGGTCATACTTTTTAGATGATCACGTAAGTTAAGCTAGTGGATCCACTAAGTTAAGTAAGGTCCTATATCACGGCAAGGTATAGGATGGTCCATGGGCAACGTGAGGTAAAACGTTGTATCATCGCTAGGGCTCATAATGGTGGTTGTCGGTTAAAGAATCTCCCACTAAAGTTATAGTACTTTTATATAAGTAAAGTTGAGTTTGTTATTGCTTTAATCATTAACAAACTAAGTTATTTACACTATTTTACAAGCTATATATATGTATTGCATGTGTCTTATTGCTTTACATTTGAGTTCAATTATTCATGAGTTGAACAGAGCCAAGGTAAGAGTTCCTTTGTAATCCTTTCAAGCTTAAGTTGTTGTTTAGCTTTCCAGCTCGCATACTCGTACATTCCATGTACTGATACCAGTTGGCCTGCATCTTGTGATGATGTAGACGTAGGTACCCAGGATCAGCATCCAGCACGCCGTTGATCCAGCAGTGGTGAGCCTCCTTGCTTTTCGGAGGACTCTGTTATTTTGTGTTCCTAGTTTTTTTTATTAGGATGTTGTGGGGTCTGTCCCAACATCAATATCAACTTTATAGAGGCTTCATAGACAGTCAGTCAGTTAGTATTGAGTCCCTCATCTATGTATATATGTAAATATTCTATTTTGAGACACGAGTTGCTTGTTGGCCAGATTTTTATCAGATGGGCTGCTTTATGACCTTTCATTGGATTGAGTTATTCTGTTGAGTTAGGTTTCCGCTGAATTAAGAAAGCCAGGCCAAGGGTTCACTTGGGG